AATTGAAATACTATCTGAAAATCGGTGGCCAAAGTGATTCTATTTCTGGGTTAATTTTTAAAACCTTGATATGAGAGAGAAGAGGAGAAAGAGAATGCTTATGATAGAAGGTTTATTACCTATCAGTAAGAGGCTTTGAATTTGATAGCTTAACCACCTTAGGTAAGGTAGGTGTTGTACTTCATGGAGGTATAAGGTTGAAAAAGAGAAAAGAGACATTCCACTTACCCACACAGCTAAGAGCATAAAGACAACACATTGGAATTGACTGCCTTCGTCTCTCGTTCTCATGAGGTGTTGTGACATTTCTGGTTTCATATTTGCGCTACCTCTTTCTGTCTCTTAACACCAACGACTTATATAAAAAACTTAAAATGTGTAGCCAAGCACCTGGCGCTATTGTCCGAAGCCATACATTGTCCATATCTTTTCTACCCATGATCAGTTGGCCTCTAGTGTCATAAGTCTCTTCGCTAGATATCCTTTACCTCATGCAGTCCAAATTAGAACATTTTTTTCCGTTTATTTGTTTTTTTCTGTTTTTGTGGCCAAATGCATTAGAGATGCAGCATTTTTCCTCCATGTGTTCTAAATATTTTGGGCTTAGTCTGGGAAAAATATAAATACAAATGTATACACTATCGATAGAAACAAAATAATACAAAATACAAGATTTTACATTATATACAATACCAATGTGCTCGATACTCAAAGATGGATATGAGTATATCCACTTAAAACTTTTAAAAGATATATGTATTAATATTTCCACATAAAAGATATTTGGTTCTTGAGAGTAAATTGATATACAATTTGTATGTTATGCGTTCATTCATAAGTATAAGTTTTCAAGAAAGCATGCCCAAGCATCATTTGGTTGCATTCATAATGAAGGAAAGTTAAGGGCCTTCTAAAAATTGTTATCATACTATGTTTGATTGCAAGTAAAATGTTGATGTTGCCCGATTTGAGGTGTTTCGAATTAAGATTATAATCAGATAGTCTTGTAGCTAATTGGAAAAGTCGAGGTGGAAGGATGAAGTCGTGCACCAAGATCAAGATCTGAAATCAAGAAAGAGGATCAGAGGCCTGAGGAGTTGTTCCTCGGGTAGGGACTCCAACACTCAAGTCAGTGATGTGAGAGATGGGTGGTCAGGCCAAGTAGTTGATAATAGTGCTGGTCCAAACAGAAAAAGCAGAGTAATAGTATGAAGTCCAAAAGTCCCTTAACTTAAGCGGAGGTTACTTATTTATAACCGAAGATCTGTATCTGATTCAGATGAGGCTTCTAGGGTTGTCAGGATGAAGTTATCCGTTGAGGTCTTCGGGATAAGTCATATTTTCCGACGGAATTGTCTTCCTCATCTATACGAGACTCCTCTTCCTAGTCGGACGTATCCATCTGACGTTGTATCAACATGGTTGAGAAGATAAAATGGCCACATAAGCTGCCGCGGGGCCAACTCAACCATAATCCAAACAAATGTATATGAAAAAAATTAAAAAATAGGAATTGTGAAAAAATGGTAATCCTTGTTGATATTGCTCAAGTCATTTCCCAATAGGGAGGTTGGTCATCAGTGATTCAATTATCCTGTTTTCAAGTTAAACTTAACATCAAGAAGGTTAGAATATCATTTTCGAAGGAATCATTCCCACTCCTCTATCTTATATGCAACCATTCACAACCAAAAAGTTGAACTTCTTTTTCAATTTTTTTTTTTTTTCTCGTGAGGCACTAATTAAATCTGGGTGTGGGGACACAAGCTTATGTATGGGCCTGGGCCCCCACAACTTGCTACCTCTCTCATGTTTGGTGCACTGGAAAATATCATCCAATGGGCTCAATATCAATGGGGCACATACAGATTTTTGCAATATCAAGTGGTATTCATTACCAAAAAATATATAAATAAAGTGGGATCCACAACAATAACTCTACACAAATTATTTCCTAGTTACTACCATACAAGGCACACTTATTACTATGGGGCCCACATGATATTTTGAAAGATTGCCAACTCTATCTATCCCAAAAAAAAATGCCAATTCAACCTGACATTTTATTCAAGAGACCAACTCTTGTCTTCTCTTCTCTCAAGTATTTATTATTATTCTTTCCCATACTTTTGTAATCATTTATGTCTCCTTTTTTTTTTCTTTTTAGCCACTTTCTTTTTTCTTTTTCCTCCAATGAGGAATACTGTATCATCTTCTAGTCAGATTATACAAAAAAGCACTTCGGTAGGGTACAAATATTGAACTGAGGGGAAATTGTACCGCGGTTCAGTTTTGCAGAAGTTTGGCAAGAACATATTTTTGTACTGAAAATAAAAGTAATTCTGTTAATATTTTTTCATTTGTTTTTGCATTTAAAATGAAAGCAAAATTTGATTCTAAAAAAAGTAGATTCCACTCTTAAAATTTGTATTTATATTCATCACAACCAAATACAAAACAAAACTTAACAATGCAAAATCAAGATAAACTTGCATTTTCATGATTTAAGATATTTCCATCTTGCACTTTTACCAAAAGTAGCCTAAGGGGCAATTAGTTGCATCCTGATTTGTCAAATATAATTTTGCCCATCTCATTTAGTAGTGCATTTATTGATTATCTTCAGTATCTTTGCCATTTAGAAAGCATCACATTGAATACACTTTATTTAATAGTACAATAATTAGTTTTCCCATGTTATATAATTTTAACCCCAAAACTAAATATTTATTTGATGCTTTATTTATTATTTTTTCTAATCCCTTCTCGAACTCATGATCTCTCTCTGGTAAATTGCTGAAACCTTCTCTAAATTTTATGACAGTTTCAAGTATACCCCCTCGGGTAGAATCTTTTAAAAAAATGTATAAAATATTTATGCAATTACTTTTACAAAGACCCCCGACAATTAGGAGAAAAATACAGTTCATCTTCCCTGATCTTATTGCTGCTAGAAATTTCTTCAACAGCATAGAAAGGTTAATTATGAACGTAAAGATATGAATTAGAATTCCCTTTTAAGTCTTTCTCAGTGATTGGATGAGAAAGGAATGCAACGTCTTCGACGATTGACGAATTGATTAGGTGCTTCGTTGTGGATTTGTTTTCTCGGTGGCGGAATTTCAGTATGTTCGGATCGGAAGTTACCTTCTTTCCAGCACGTTGGCCCCAAAATTTCCCAACAAAGCGAAGGAATTTGGATTTCATCGAGGGCCATCCTGCATGTCCCAGCTCGGAATCGGCAGTTTCAGACTTGACTTTGAAGAGAAACCCCCGGAGGTTAACCCAAAGTGAGAATCGGCTTTCAAATAATCGACAACTAGGTAGAAGTCTTGAGGCTTTGAACTTGAAACCGAAGCTTTTGGCCCTGGCACGGACGGTGATTCTCCAAGTTTGAGTCTTGTTTGCATCCATCTCCGAAACTTGGAAGAATAAGTGAGTTCCAGACCTGTCGAGATGCAACCTCGTCTTAATAATGTCGATGGGTTGAAGACAACAAGCCTCAACGATCCCTCCGATGGAACCAGATACTGCCTTCATATACTGTGGAATCGTCGTCTTCCGATTCTGTTGAGACTTCTGTTTTTCTCCCATTAGGGCTTTTCTACAAACATAAATGTTTCAAGAGGTGCTAAAAATAGAAGGAGAAGAAGAGGAGGAGGAGGATGGCGAGCGAGAGAATGTTTTCAGTTTCTCGATGCTCGTGGGTGCTTTAGTCCTCCCTCTCCCTTCTTCTTCTCCTTGATTTGGAGGTGGCTACTGGCTACGACCTACGACAGGGATGGCTGATAACTGATATGCACATACACCTTGCAAACAACGCCGACTTGAACGGTTAAAGAGAGAGAATTTTTCGCAATGTTGCTGTCGTTTTCATCTCTTCTCTCTTTTCTTCTTTCAGAGGTTTTCAAGATGAAGTGAAAACATTCAGAAACTGGGGTTCTAGTCCTTTTCCTTGCAGTCTTCGTCCAATATGCGGTCTCAAACGAATCCAGGTATTGCTTTCGGAAAAAAGGATATAAAGAAGAGTCTGAATACTCCGAAGGACCGGATCCTCGTTACTGGAATCATGCATTCTGCAACGATAAATGGAAAGTTTCTCGCATTCAGATCGAACGGCAGAATTTTCAGGGGACTTCACCCTCAATATCAAGACTGTTCTCACAGCCATGGAGCGGCTAGAGTTGCAATTTTAAAACAAACCTCTGGTACCCATCCCAGCTTAATGAAACCAATTCTCCCTCCATCTGCAAGGATCGGAAAACAGAGTAAATCCGGAAGAAAAAAGGGGTGGAGAGAAAGGGAAAGGGAAAGAAGAGAGATCGGGGGAGAGAGAGGGAGGACTTCAGCGAAAATCCGCCACTGGTTGTTCATGTATCAGAGGTCGGGGAAGATGAACAGTATTTTTCTTTCGATAGAAGGATAATATGGAGGTTAAAAAATATTGTAACAGAAACCTCAAGGGGATCCAGAGAGTCTTTGTAATTTACCCTATTCTTTTCTTAGATATTTTTATTTAATAAACTTATCTTTTTATCTTGGGTCTTTTAAATCAAAGGTTGTAGCTGGACTATTTTCAAATGATGGGATGATAATATGATATGCAACTACCATGACTACATAATATAACTAACTAGACCGGATCATGGGCCTCAATTCCGTTATATATGGACCCAAATCAGGCCCAATATTTTGGGTTCACTTTCTAGTTTCTACTAATCAGTAGTCTGGGCCTCGTACGACCAGCAGCTTTTCTTCAGKCATCTATCAGACCATCACCGACCAAAGGAGATAAACCATGTCGACACTACCTATCCTCTTTCCCACTCCCCCGGCACTACCATTTCGAGGGCTTCCACTCCCCAGAACTCAAATTAAGAGCCCCAAAAGTGATAACTGCTTCAAGGTCTCCTTGAAGAATTTGAAAAGCAGCGCCCAGCTCCCTACCCTCCATTCCCATCTTCTCAAAACCGGCCTTCTCTCTGACATCTACACCGCCAACACTCTCATTCACAGATATTCAGAGTCTGGATGTATCTCTCAGGCAGAGCAGTTGTTCAACGAAATGCCTCAGAGGAACCTTGTGTCGTGGACCTCTTTAATTTCTGGCTATACTCGGTCTGGGAAGTCCTGCGAAGCTCTTCGAATCTTCACGGACATGTTGGACTCGGGGTTTTGTCCGAATGAGTTCGCTTTTGGCAGTGCCCTTCGAGCTTGCGCAGAGTCTGGGTACGTGAGTTTTGGAAAGCAGCTACATGGGTTGATTGTGAAGACTGGGTTCGCCCAAAACGAATTCGTTGACAGTGGATTGATCGTCATGTACTCAAAAAGTGGGAATTTGGATACTGCAAATGGCATACTAGTGAGGATGCAAGAGAAAGATGCATTCTCATGGACTGCTATGGTGGTTGGCTACACAAACAGGGGTTATTGTTTCCAGGCAATTACTCTCTTTGTTCGTATGGTGGAGGAGAATGTTTGGCCTAGTGAGTACACTTTTACTAGCGTTCTAAAGGCTTGTTCTTCCTCGGAGAGTATTGAAGAGGGGGTCCAAGTTCACTGTTATGCTATAAAAACTGGATTCGAACAGGATTTATCTGTTAGAGTTTCACTTGTAGACCTGTACACCAAGGTTGGGGACTTACCCAGCGCTCAATTAATCTACGACCGGTCTCCTGTTCTTGATGTCATCTTGTGTACAGCCATGATTGGTGGGTTTGCTCATAACAAGAGACCCGAGTTGGCTATTGAGCTGTTTCTGCAAATGCTTGAAGAATTTGAAATCGTCCCCAATGAATTTACCTTTGTAAATGTGATATCTGCCTGTGTGGGTATCCATGAACCACGTTTAGGAGCTTGTCTTCATGCTCTGCTCACAAAAACCGGGCATCGAAGAGTAGTTCAAGTCGAGGGTGCGCTCATTGATATGTATGCTAAAAATGGCGATATCACATCTGCTTGCAGGGTCTATGATAACATGGTAGAGAAGGATGCAATGTCATGCTCTTCAATACTTGCTGGCTTATCTTCTAATGGGCGTGATCAAGAGGCTCTCAAGTTCTACTCCACCCTCCATCAGTCACATCTGAAGCCAGATCCTTTTGSATTGGCCAGTGTCACAGAATTATGTGCCAAGCTTGCAGATCAGATCCGGGGAAGACAAATTCACGCCCAAGTGATCAAACATGGGCATGAGAACGATACATGTATAGCCAGTGCTCTGATGGACATGTACTCCAAGAGTGGGACGATTGAGGATGCTCAATTTGTGTTTGATAATCTATCACAACGGGACAGGATTGCTTGGACTGCCATGATTGATGGTTATGCTGAACATGGGCAAGGACTAAAAGCCCTGGAATCATTCGAGAGGATGAAAGAAGAGGGCATTATTCCAAATGAGGTGACCTATGTGAGCATCCTCTATGCTTGCAGCCATGCAGGATTAGTTGCAGAAGGGCTCCATTACTTCCATCTGATGTCCTTGGACCATGGGATAGAGCCAGTCATCCATCACTATGCGTGCATGGTCGACCTCTTGGGCCGCGCTGGTCGATTAGAAGATGCATTAGGGTTCATAAATTCCATGCCAATAGAGCCCAGTGCCCTGGTGTGGAGAGCATTCTTGGGTGCATGTAGACTCCACAGAAATCTGAAAATGGGTATCCATGCCTCGGAGCGCCTTCTTGAGCTGGACCCAGATGATGATTCAGCATATGTGCTCCTAGCAAACATGTACGCAGAAGCAGGCCAATGGACTGAATCGCATAGAGTAAGGAAATTGATGAGCATGAGGGGAGTAACAAAAGTTCCAGGACTTAGTTGGATTGAAGTTAAAAATTGTTTCCATGTCTTTGGAGCTGGAGATTCAATTCATCCTCAGAAGGAGCTCATATATAGGACACTGGATGATTTGAATCCTGAGATGAAGGCAGCTGGTTATGTGCCTAAGATAGGATCTTCAACCTTACAAGATGTAGATGGGGAAGAGGACAGATTAGCCTGTTACCACAGTGAGAAATTAGCAGTTGCTTTTGGGTTAATGAGCACCCCAAATGGGTTCCCAATTCGAATATTTAAAAACCTCAGAGTGTGTGGAGATTGCCACAGTGCAATTAAAATAATTTCTTTGATAAGAAATAGAGCCATTACAGTGAGAGATACTAGTAGATTCCATCACTTCAGGGATGGCAAGTGTTCTTGTGGAGATTATTGGTGACTTGAGAACATTAGATTGAACCATGATTGCTTGTTGCACATATATTATTTAGGCATGTGAGTGGGCAATTCACTTCAACCACTAAACTGCATCCCTCTTTTTTTTTTAAGTTTTTATGACATTGGCATCTTATAGGTGGTGGCTCAATAGGGCTCTAGGTCCTTGACATGTCACTTTGTCCTCATCAGGCAAAGTTTGGCAAAAACTAGGAGAAACCTTCCAAATCATGACTTTCTTAAGAGTAAAAGAGAAACACTTTGATTTTTCTAACAACATATCATGCGCTCATCTATTATACGCAACATTGAACTATATATTGTAAATAGAGATTAAGGCTTCAAAAGAAAAAAAAAAACTATATATTATAAATCTCTTGAGCAAGACCAACCTGGCCCAAGAGTTTGATCTGTGGATGCATATAAATGTTGGCCTTTCTTTTTTTTTTCATGATTCATGAATTGTGAATGAACATGGATTTCTTTTTCATAATCAGAAGTAARTATTTGGAAAAAAAAAATGTGTCAACTGCCAAACAAATTTAACCCTCCTTTAAAATATCAGTACGATAATGCTCAATACAAGGTGTATTGTATCCATATCCAAAGGTGTAGATACATAGCATGTGTAGAAGTTAAGACGATATGACTTGTGGCAGTGGTCATAGATCCATTATAGGCCAAAAAATGCTAATTCTTTAAAATTTTTGACAATTTCTATAGGCTGTCCCAACAACCTATAGAAAATTATAAAATAATCATAAATGGTTTTCTTATGTGTGTTAAATGATTTTTATTGTGTGAAAGAACTATAAATGGATCTATCAATGATATTTTTGAACTAGTTGGTCTAACAATAGCTTACATGAAAAATAATTTTTCTTTCTTATAAAGTTTGAAAACTAAAAAGGTCATTTATTTTATATGTTCTAAACGATTTTCATGGTAAGGAAGAACTATGAGATCGATCTATAATGATCCATCAAATTAATCCATCTTGTAGTGAACTTCTAGTAGATTGAAAGCTCAAAACATTGATGTTTTACTAGTAAATCTATTGTATGATATGTATGTGTTCTAGACTTGTGATATTTTTGAGTGTAATGAATCTCTTCATATAAACTATCAAAGTGTGCATTTTTTATGTGTTTATAACATTTTCATAGTTATTCCAACTTTAGATATATTTTCATTATTGTATTTGTGGGATTTGTAAGAGTTTTCAATGTACCCAAGTATCGCAATATGTATTTGTATCCAAATTAACTGATTCAAAAAGTTTTTAAAACCAAATTGGACAACAAACTGTTCAGGGGTCCAGTTCCTGGGTTGAACGGTCCGATCGTTCGAACCAAACAGATGGTCCGTTCTGACAAAAGAAATAAAAAAATAAAAACAGCCAAAAACAGTTAGACGGTTCAAATGGTTTGAACAGTTCGACCGTTCAGGTCAGCAGTTTGCTGACCAAATCAACGACTTTTGATCAAAAAGACAATTCTGGGGTAAAACGGAACCGATCACCCGATTTTTCTGATCCAACAGTCCGGTCTGATCCGATTTTGAAAACCATGAATACTTAATTAAATTGGGTTATTCTTGATAAGCTTTAATGCTGTTGTCTTTCCTTGGACTCTTCTCCTAGCATCACTATGTATTTAGGATAAATGGGATCCTAGCATGAATGGCTGCTGAATTGGTAAAGGATGGAAGGACACCAAGAGGAGATGGACCAGACGATCAATCGTCTCTCTCAAGTATTGACTCGGCACTCAGCAGAGCAGTATGGTTTGGATCAAGATGGAAGACTTAAGACATTGTTTAACTGATCTTTGCTGGTTCTTTTCAATGTAGAAACTTTTCATTCCCTAGGAGGAGTGAGGTTGCTTTGCTATAATTGCTACTCTATCTATTTCACTGTGTCATAGGTCCAATGTAGAAACTGATCTTTGCAGAAAAGAAGAGAGCAATGGAAATTAGTTGTGACTTGTGAATGTAGAATCCCACATTGGAATGAGAGAAGAATGCAAAGGAAGTATATAGCCCACAACTTAATGGCCTAAGCTTTTAGTTTAAAAAGGTGGTTTCCAACTCTTGTGTCTCCACCCAAGCTCTCTAATCTTGGAGACTCCTTATTGCACACCGAGCTGTTTAGATATAAAGGGCTGTGGCAATACAATTAAATGCTGTGACACAACTAAGTTCATGGATTTAAATTTTGTCATACAAGTTGGAGAAGGGTCTTCATGATTCTGGTATATTTAGTTCTTTTATCCTTTTTGCTCATTGTTAGTCATCGTGTTTTCAAAGTTTTTGCTTGTAAGAGATCCAGACTCCCATCTTCTAAGTTTTGTGTGTAATCAATTCAGAGTTTTTTTTTTTGTCAAATCGAATGCTAGGGATTAGGGGTGAGTATTATTTAGTAAAAGCAGAAAAACTGAATCGAAAATTTTGGTTTTTTTTTTGTTCAATTTTTTTGGTTTTTGAAAATTTTGATTTGGTTAATTCGGTTTTCAAAATTAAAAATTGGGAAGTTGTCTAAAATGCACCATGAGTTTTCAGCATTTCTCTTAAATTCACCGCAACTTTTCAAAATGTCTAAAGCTCACTATGTCACTAACTTGACGTTAAACAGGCTAACGTGTGTTAATATATTACCAATTTATCTTCCATAGAAAAATATAAAATATATACAAAATAAATTAATGGGTGTTAATATATTACCATTTTAATATTTAAACATGAAAAAAAAGGAATAAATCCAAAAAATATATTTTCAAATATAAAATACATAAAATATAGAAATTACACAAAATATAAAAAAATTATAGAAATTGCAAACAAAATAAAAAATTATTTTCAAATTATAGAAACTATATAAATTGAAAAACAAAATTATAGAAAAAAGACAAAAAATTATAGAAAAACACAGAAATTGCAAATAAATAACAAAAAATACAGGAAAATTTATAGATTGTAGAAATTAGAAAAATGTAAAAAAACAGAAATTATTAAAAACATTGGAAATTATAACATAACACTAAAAATGCATAAAGAACAAGAAAATTGAAAACTGAAAAGACCTTTTTTCCTCTAACTTGCCATTCAAAGGTAATTTGGTCATGAAAATTGTTATTTATATCCAGTTCTGTAAGAAGCATTAACAATGCACTAACGGAAGGTGAGTTTTGTAAAATAAAAACTTACTGACATGGTGAGTTTTAGACAATTTCCCTTAAAAATTTGATTAACTGAAAAAACTGAATTAACCAAAATTCATTGTATAATATGTAATATGTAATATATAATATATAATATGTTATATATTTATATATTTATATATTAATATGTTATATATATTATATTATAATGAAATTCAGTTTCATAATATATATTTTAATATATAATATATATTATACATTATAATATACAATATTTTATGTATGTTAATGAAATTCGGATTTAATCGAAATAACCAAACCGAAAATTTTGGTTTCAGATTTTTCAATTTTCTTGTAATTCAATTTTTATTTATTTTTATTTCGTTTTTATTTTATATTTCGATTTATTCAGTTCAGTTTCTAACCAAATAAACCAAATGCTCACCCCTATTAGGAATGCAAATGGATCATATCGGATTTAAATCAGGATATATCGAAATCCGATCCGATATATAAATATCATATCCAGTTCAATCTGAAGATTTGATCGAATTTCAAAAAGGTTATTCAAATTCGAATCTGTTAAAAATGTCAAAAATCAAAATCTGATCCAATCTAAAAATTCAATAAAAAATATCCAAATCTGACAAAATAAAATCGGATTGGAATTTGGATCAAATCACGAGTCAATCCATTTACACCCCTATCTAATGCTAACATTTTTTATATCAAAATTCAAAACCCTAATYCCCTTTTGGAGGTATGATATATAATGTTAAAGGGTTCAACTATCATATGATATCCGAAAAACAACCAACCAATAAACTGGAATCATAACGTGATAGTGATTACTGTTTCAATAATACATACTTTTCCAAAGACATGTTAACGAGTCCCTCTCATCTTGCTGAGTTAGACTCATGGACAACCTCGGATTCCAAATCCTATGACTGTGTCTATCCACACGATGTTGCTTTTACCCATACCCATCAAGAAAATGATAGGGAAAGCTATTCATTCATGACACCCCGAAATTTCAACTTGACTTTTACAACGATTGCAATAGCTTCATGTTTTTAAGGAAATATATAGTATGTGTTTGGTTCTATTTACATTGAGTAAACGTGGCTGCCACATAGGTGCCCTGTCAGCAAAAGCTTCATTAATTGCATCCATACGTATCCATGTTTGCAAAAGCAAAATTCAAAACCCTATTTCTGTGTGCCTCTCCCATTTCATTTTGGAGCTTTTTGAAATGGGTAGGCATTTATTGGCACTTTGCTGATGTGGTGCCTAATGGCACCTATGTGTCATAAACGCTCTCATTAATTGTTTTTCTCGGTTTTGCAGCCACACGAGTACAAAATAGTGGTGCCTAATGGCACCTATGTGTCATAAACGCTCTCATTAATTGTTTTTCTCGGTTTTGCAGTCACACAAGTACAAAATATTTACTCAATAAACGTAAACAGAATCAAACACCCTCATAGTATGTATTTGGTTCCGTTGGCATTTATGGATAGGTCGTATATTTGTACTTTTTCACTTTAAATGTTTTTTACTTTAAATATTTCCTGTTTTTGTTGTTTGGTTAGGCTTCACTTTAAACGTTTTTTACTCTCTACCTCAGATTAATACCGTTAAAGTGTGTCACATCAGCATTAGATTTCAAGAAGCGTAGGGGCATTTAGGGAATACATCCAATTCACTTTAAATGTTTATTTATGTGACGCTAATGTGGCAACATTTTTTCAGTAAACACCCATGGAACCAAATAGAGTCGATTCATTACTCAAGGAAACAAAACATGCAAATTTGCAAATTAACTAGGGGATTCTCGTGGGTT